GACATATATAGTGTACTATTAAAGAGAGAGAGAGGGAGAGTAGTAAACCTAATATTTTACAATATTTTATACATTTAAAGTTGTTAATAGAAATAATATATTTTAATTATTGTAATATAAAAGATGTATCATCAACCCTCGAAACATAAATATATGTATTAAAAATAATGCCATATATATAGAAGAAATTTTTAATAAAAATAATAACCTTCTTTATTTAAAAATAATTTTAATATATACCTAGCAAACACAAGTGATATTTGTATTATATTTAAATATATATAAAAAGTTTTGTGTAGATAGGTAGAATGAATACGAAGTAAATTTTCTAGACCAAAAATCACTTATAACTTATAAAAACATGATTACAAAATTAAAATTTAACACTAACTACGTTAATAAAATCTATTTGTCATTGATCATTGAAATTTTGGCTATAAATTTCATTTTGTACTCTAATATTTCGATGTCATTTTAGGGTTAAATGATTAGTTGATTTAGTCTACTTAACCTAGTATGTGTAGTCAAGTCTGAAGAATTTTAAAAAAAAAATTCTAAAACTCCAAAGTTGAAGATTTAAGTCAATTTATTTATATTCATCTCAAATCTCAATCAAAGGCTAGGGTGGAGTATCCTTTGTTCATACGTACTAAATGCCAGAGAGGCCAAGCAACAAGAATATTTCTTTTTCTTGTTTTTTAAATTAGAAAAATCGGCTTGTTTATAGGAATTTATATTATTTCAAAAAAGATCAAAATTGCATGAAAAGATTTTTTTTTTATATTTATTTATTTATTTTGACAATAGCATATTTACAAGTATTTGTTATTACTAGTTTACTACATGGATCTCAAAATTTATTCATTCTTTAGACTTTTTGTTACTTTTAATACATTTATTAAAAGGCTATATAGATTATTTGAAATACTACGTATATATTTTCAACATACAAGACCATTAGCCTCTTACAAGTATAATTTTAACTAATTTGGTGATAGAAGGTCGTGGAGCAACTATCTTGGAAAAGGTAGGCAAACAATTTTGTAATCAAAGATAATATTTGGAACATAATGAAAAGCCATTTTTTTTTTTTTTATTTAAAAAAAAAACATACGAAGTAAATCATAGAAGTATATATGTAGGGGTGCAAAGCTGCAACTCCAGACTTAAATTCATTGTCCAGAAACACATGAGGACGGCAGTAGTGCAATAACAAAGAGGGTATGAAGTATGTGGGGACTATGAAAATTAAATTATGTTGTGCTATCTTTTAAGATAAAAAAATAAAATAAAATAAAATAGAACTAATCAATTAAATAAAAAATAAATTAAGCAAAAATAAATAAAATTTAATGAGGTAAAATAAATGTATCCTATCAATTATGGATCGATGAACAATCTGACATAGCCCACAAGGAGGATTTCATTTCATTCACTCGTTTTGGAAGGGGTAGTGTTGTAGTGGAATGCTACTTTATTCATTTCCACACCCAAAAATTATAATTTGTTGAGTTGCATCACTATATGTAATAAGTTCATTTAGTGAAATCATTACTTCCACTTATAATACATACATGCTTTAGACTAATAACCTTATGTGATAAACATGCATGTTATGTACAACAAGTATATATTATCCTTATATAATGGTTGTTTATGTGACCCTAACAATCTAACATGACCCCCTCGTTCTTTGGTTGTGGTATCTTTCCTAGTCTCATCTTAAAAATTACTATTATCTGATCTTGATATTTTATTTGTAAATTCGAGTATTTCAATCAAAAGTTATGTTGATTAATTTGAAAGTCAAAAGGACACAGTGTATTTATTTTCTTACTTAAAATTTAGCATTGATCAGTTAGGGCTAGACTTAATAGACCTAGTTTTAAAGATCAATTTATTAAAATCCATGCGTTGATCTGAGTTGCCTAATGTTTGACTTGATAATTACCCCATTACCTAAATTTAGGGTTATAAAACTATGCCTTACACTTGACCAAAGTATGACATAAGTTGAGTCATGGTTTGATCAACTCTTTATGGTATGTAGCTTGAGGAAGCAGAGTTGGTTTATAGTTCTTAACTCAAACTAGTCTTTTGGCCCATGCAATGCACGACTTGTTCATAGAAATTAAAATTGCATTGAGAGATGAGTGAGGAAATACCAATAAATAATTATGAGTGTAATATGTAACTGAAAACATAATTAAAGAAATAAAAATTTTGGGACTTTAATTTAAAATGAGACTTAATAGAAAGAAGATGGAGGGACTAAAAATCAAAGGGAGAAAATAAAAAGGTTGAATTAAAGAGGGAAGATGAAGATAAAGTGTTTAATGAAAGAGTTAAGAAGAATTGTATAATTAAAAATAAAAAATATAAAACGACGTGTGACACATTGAGTTGAAGAAGATGATAGAGAAGTGTAATAGAATAATGACATATGTCTTTTTGGTTTTCTTTTTTAAATACTTAGTATTTAAAAAGACAAACCACAATCACTTATATGACACATGTCATCATAATTTACCCTTATGCCACATAACACATCCATTAATAATATATCCTCTTTATACTCCCTTTTAAAGTAAAAGTACTAAAAGATAAAATAAAATGTTATTGAATGCTAAAGTTTTTATACATTCCTAACTTGCAAATTTAAATAAGAAAATGGTGTGTTTCATTTTCACAATAAAAAAAAAAAGTTATACTCCTCTCTATACTCCTTTTAATGTAAAAGTTAAAATAACAAATTATTTAATGTTAAAATCTTTATGTATTCCTAACTTGCAAATTATAAGTAAGAAAATTAAGCAAATTATTACAAAAAATTACCGACACATACAACACAAATAAGCAACACATTTCAAGAAAAATAAAATGAACTACAACCCGTTCGTTGAACGGGCCAAAAGACTAGTTGAGTTGAAGAAGATGATAGGGAAGTGTAATAGAATGATGACATATGTCTTTTTGGTTTTCGTTTTTAAATACTAAATATAGATAGATGTGATGGTTGATAGATGCAAAAGGAGAATCTGTGAGGGGAAATGCCATAGAGAAAGTAGTGTTAATGGATATGTTAGATACATTTTATTGTTTTTAAAAGGATGCATATATATCTTTCAAAAAAAAAAAGGATGCATATATAAGCAATAATGATTATCTTCAATAAGATGTTAAGAAAATTTAGATTAATGATCCGATCTGAAAATAAGTGTTGATACGGTAAAGTAGAAAAAATTATGGACATAAAAAGGTTAGACAAATGGCTAAAACTCACATTAAGGCACATGTACTAATGATTTTTCATGCAGTTATGTTTGATAAATTAAATAGTTTGAACGGTTATTTCTTAAAGTCTAAATAGTACTGTATAGCTATCCTTTTTCTTTATTCCTGTTTCCGTTTCAAAACTTTAATTCGTTTGTCGTTTCTTAATGAATATTCTCCATCTTAAACTACTTTGATCCGTTAGTGTTATATTACATAATTCCTAATATTTTTGAACCCTAACATATATATTATTGATTCTGTTCATTATAGTAACTTTGTTGATCGCAACAGTAGTGCAAAATTTTCAGTTAATCATTTATTTAAATATAGAATGCAAAATTTTCACTTAATCATTTAATAAAGTATAGAATATTATGGTTGAGGAGATTAACAAACACAAAATTAATGGAACAATTTGAATGACCTAAACAAAAGTTGTGCATTTATTTTTTGAAAGCGATCTCTACTCCCATAAAAGGTATATAATAGACTACCTAACTCTTTCTTTGATCACTTCATTCTTTGAGTTTCTACAATTAATTAAATGAAATTTTCACGTAATAAAACTTGTTAAATGTAATCTTATCTAACTTTCTACATCAAATTAAAGAACTGTTTATTGTATTGATAGTTTGCCAAAGTAGTAGTTCATCCCTTGAAAAGTGTATTAATAGAGATGAAAATTGAAAAGAAAATTGAAAAGAAAAAGAAAAATAAACATTAAAAGATACCAAATCATGGAGCAGATTTAAGTATTTAAATTCTACATCAGAGAAGATCTTCAACAGTCAACACTACTCAACACTTAAAGAGTCAAGTACTCAAGTGTGACATAATGTTAAAAAAAAGAAAAAAAGAAAAAGGACAACTAGCCAGCCAACTCAGTGTTTTTAGTTCTCACTCAACTTTAATCTCTTTACCTTATGACTTATGAAGCAAGCCAAATTGAGAACACTTTCACATGCTTCAACTCAATAACTCTCATACACTACTCATTTTTCTACAAAAATTACATAAAAAATAGAAAGAATTATTGTAAACAAAAACAATAACTATAATCTCCTCTGCTTTATATATACTACCTCCGTTAATTTTTATTTGCAACTTTGGACTATTATTTGTGAGACATAAAATATTTCAAAATTGTAAATAAAAGTTAACGGAGATAGTATATATATATATATATATATATATATATATATATAGGTAACTTGGCCCTCTTTCACTTCATTTTTCAAAGTAAAAATAATTTCAGTTCAATAATGTTTTATGTGAAATAGGATTCTAATAAAAGGACAGAGAGAGTAACTCTAATGCTTAATGTTTTATAACTAGAGATATTTATTATGGAATAAGATTATAGTTGTATTTTGGGAACTATAAACATTTCTCATGTTGCAACAATTAAAAAAGGGATACATTAATACTTCCTCCGTTTTTCTTTTATTGCACCATAAGAACTTTTACACTATTCACTTAATCTTCTTTGACCATCTTTTGTGATTTATCTATTAGGAAAAATATAGTCATGTGGGATCTAGTTACATTCATCTCGAAATCTACTTTTTAAATATCAATTTTTTCATAATTTTTACAAAAATATAATTAAAAATATTAATAGCCAAATTAATGCATTGACAAGCATAAAACACTTTATGATGCATAAAAAAAGAACGGAGGAAGTATTATTTTTAATTAATTTATAAATACAAAAAAGGGGATAAAAAGTCTTCTAAGAGAAGAGGGGAAGCTCTTCTTTGGAGTTTGGACCAGTCCCTCTGCTTCTGCTTCACCTCCCATTGTATGTGTTACATTTTCTCTCACAAAAATACTCTCTCTCACAAAAATACTCTCTCTCTAACTCTGAAATAGAGGAAGCAGTGATTTTTATCAGAAACAAGTTTAATGTCCACCCACCCTCTTCAAAACTAACCTTCTCTTTCTTTCTTTCATTCTCTCTCTTCAAAAAAATACAGCCATTTGTTTCCTCTCATTTTAGGTGTGAACAGTAGAACACATTTTCCAATTTCATTTCACTCCTTTTTTTTCACTATTTTTTTTTCTTTCTCAATTTCTGTTATTTCTCTTACTTGCAGTAGATCTATTACCAAATTTGAGAAGCCAAAATGAGCAAAGAAGAGTTCTTAAAAATTCAGGTAAAAAAAAAAACATTTGTTTGATTTTCTGATTGTAGCAATCAGTTTTATTTACCCTTTTTGATTAATTTTATTGGGTTTTTGTTAATTTGCAGACTTGTGTTCTTAAAGTGAATATACATTGTGATGGTTGTAAACAGAAAGTCAAAAAAATCCTGCAGAAAATTGAAGGTAAATCTTCTTTCTATCTTTCTTCTGTAATTCTGTTTTTTATTTTTACTTTATGCTTTTCTTGTTTCTCAATTCACTGACCAAAACTCTTTCAGTCCACTGTCTTGTCCGAATTTAGTTGTCACATTACTAGTTTAAATTTTCACTATTAACATGATTATTAATTCCGAATCGACGGACCGACAGTGTTGTTATTAATTTTAGCTGTGCTGAAATACAAGTAATTGATTTGGAATTGGAATTGAAATTGAAACAGGGGTTTACAAGTTAAGTATAGATGCAGAGCAAGGCAAAGTAACGGTTTCAGGAAATGTAGACCCAACAACACTCATTAAGAAGCTCAATAAGTCTGGTAAACATGCAGAGCTTTGGGGCGCTCCGAAACCGAACAATAATAACAACCAAAATCAAATGAAAAACGTTGATAATGGTGGTAAAGGCGGAGGCGGCCAAAATCCAAATCAAATTCAAAATAAAAATCAAAATCAGCCGCAAAAGGGTGGTGGTGGAGTTCCTCAAAATCAGCCGAAAGGTGGTGGTGGTGGAGGTGGAGGACCGCAGCAGCCGAACGCGCAACAGTTGCAGCAAATGCAGCAACAGCAGCTGCAGCAATTGCAGCAACAGATGAAGGGGCTTGGAATGGGTGGAGGAGATCTGAAAATGCCGCCACAATTTCAAGGAATGAAGATGCCATCGAAGGATAATCAGCCGCAGTTGCCGCAGCCGGGTGGGAAAGGAGTGAAGTTTAATTTGCCGGAGGATGATTTGGATGATGATGATGATTATGACGATGATGATTATGATGATGATGATTTTACGGATGATGATGAGTTTGAGGATGTCGGTAAGATGAAACCGATGGGGTTAGGTGGTGGTGGTGGTCCGCCGCCGAATATGATGATGAATGGTGGTGGTGGTCCGGGTGGTGGGATGATGAATCCGCAGTTGATGAATGCTATTGCTCAGGCGAAGGCAAATGCTGCGGCTGGGAATGGTGGTGGGATGATGAATCCTCAATTGATGAATGCTATTGCTCAAGCAAAGGCTAATAATGGTGGTGGTGGTGGGGGGGGTGGCGGTGGTGGAGGCGGTGGTGGTAATAATGGTAAAAAAGGCGGTGGAGGTGGAGGCGGAGGTGGAGGAGGTAATATTCCGATTCAGATGAATGGGGGTAAAAAGGGGGGAGGAAATGGAGGAGGAAATAATAATCAAAATCAAGGGGGTGGAAAACAAGGTGGTGGTGGTGGTGGTGGTGGTGGGGGTGGTAAACAAGGTGGTGGGCCAATGCCGGTTGATCCTAAAAATGGTGGTAAAAATGGGAATGGGCAACCTCATGGCGGTGGCGGGAACATGATGATGATGATGAATGGTGGTGGTGGGGGGAAGAAAGGTGGTGGATTACCACCTAATCATCATGGCATGGGAGGAAATGGAATGAATAACAATCCAAATGGAGGAGGGTTCAATCATGGCATGGGGGGCATGCCAGCTCATCATGTGGGTGGTGCCCCCAATATGGGCCAAATGCCACCAGTAGCCCAAATGGCTAACATGCAAATGGGCCCTATGGGCTCGATCCCGGCCGTTCAAGGGTTGCCAGCTGGCACCACAGCAACCGCTGGACCCGCGTACTACCATGGGGGCCCACCGCCGGAAATGATGGGCCCGAACCCCGGGAACCCGTACCACCAACAAATGTTGGCTCAAATGATGATGAACCAACAACGAGCCAATGGGAACGAGCGGTTTCAGCCCATGATGTACGCCCGGCCACCACCTGCTATGCATTATATGCCCCCTTACCCACCACCGCCCGACCCCTATACTCACTATTTCAGTGATGAAAACACCTCATCAAGTTGCAATGTAATGTGATAAAAAAATTTGCCAAAAGAACATGAGAGGGTGGTGTTTGTTCCTTGTTTGGTCATGAATCTCGGTGAACAAGGGTAGTTCTTTGCTCAAAGGGCATGCGGAATCTTGATAGTTTGATATAAAAAAAAAACTTACCATAAATGATGCAAGAAAAAGACCTTTATTTTAGCTTAAATTTTCATAATTTCACCTTGTTAATTTTACTCCTTATTTTTGGTCCTAAGTTTTTTATATTTTCTGGATTTCAATTATCATAGAGGAAGGGTCCGTTATATATTATATAGATAATTTATATAAAAGAAAACAAGTTTGTAGTGGAAGATGATAATGTAAACTTTTAGGAGAGAATGAGAAGGGGACATTGTCCTCGTTCAGTGAGATGTTTATATGTGTTTATAAATGTTTTTTTTACTCTTAAAAAAAATCCCATAATAATAAAAAAATAATTTTAATAAAAATAGAAAGGGGTATTAAAAAATCCCCCTCTTTTTCTCTCCTAATTCTTTGTTATAATATATTATTATTTGCTCAATTGTAAATGCTTATCTTCTTCACCAATACACTGTGTTTTGTAGTTAGCTTTAACTAGTTTTGGATGGTCCATGTGAGATATCACTATCTACGTAGTTTCCATTCATAATTATTGACCATTATTATTATTGTTATTATTAAGGCTAATTTCTACAAGAAAATGAAATTTTTTTGTAGGGTCACAATCCATAAGTTGCGCTAAAGTGGATTAATGGCCCCATGTCCCACTAGCTTCTTTTAGCTAAAGTGTTTTAGGTAAATCAAACCCAATCTATTCAAAAGTTGAAGCTTAGCAAGATACTATTTCATACATGCATTTTTTAAACTTAGGTACGTCCCACGGGCCACAAGAAGATCGTTTATTTATTATTATGTTGTTTTGGAATCTATGTTGATGTGTAGATGGGAGCACATAATTTAGAGAGAGTAAAAGTGTGCCACTATGCACAGCCCTTTTGGTTTGTACGATTGTCTATATCAAATTTGTGATTGGGGGTAAGAAAATGGCTAAAGATGACATTGGGCCGGCCTAGCTTGTTCTATGAAGTGGCCCAATATGAAAAAACTATTATAACAACGGTACCGGCACATTATGTTATTGTGTGAGTTGTGTCTGATCACAGTTTTTGAAAAAAAAAAACACAATAAAGCATAGCACGACATAACATGATAAATAATGCTACAATAAATAAAATTTACCTTAGACATGTAACATAACACATGGTCTAGTGTTGTATCTAAGCCACCATTTTGAAAATTTTTATGTGGTGTGTAAAGAGATGATGGAGTTAGTTGCAATTAGAGCCTATTCAAGCTCATGACACACGGGCCCTGCACAACCTATGTCCATCTTCGATGCAAGTATGCAACATAAATTCTATATCATGACAAACAAGTATTCTTTTAGCTTCAAATCTAGTAATGAGAAACCTTGCTCTTAATTGCAACATTTTCTCACCTTGCCTTGTTCTAACTATATATGATAACATGCTCATCTTATTTATTTGCTTCTAACACCCATTATATTTGTTACGAGAAAGAATTTGAAAGATTAACGAAGATGAACACTCAAGATTTGCTTGCCATCCCAACTTTATCTGAAGAGTCTCTAAGCTCAAGTACTAAGAACTAATACCTTCATTAGACAAAGAAGCTCTTTGAATTATTACAAGAGAGAGAAAAGTAAGATGAAATGAAATCTAACTAAGAAAGATTAATTAAGTTCAGTAGCTTTATATGCTCTGACTTCCTACACTAAATGCTCTGTCAGCAATAATTGCTCTAACAAACGATTACTCCCTCCGTGTTTTTTTTAAGTGTTACAGTTTGACCGATATATAGTTTTAGGCAATTTAATTGACTTAAATAAAATAAGAGGTAAGTGGGGTAATTGGAGTATTAAAAAATTGTAAAAGATAGATAGTGGGGTTCATAGTTTATTGAAAAATAATGAATGTGAGAGGAAAGATATAATAAAAAAGTAGTAGTGGATTTAGGTGGGGACCATGAGAGGAGAGAGATATAATTTTTTAATGTAACTTTTTGCCAAAAAAGAAAGTGTAACACTTAAAAAACACACGGCCAGAAATGGAAAGTGTAACACTTAAAAAAACACGGAGGGAGTACAACAACTTGTGCTTACATGGAACAAGTTGTTACAGATAAGCTAAAATACGGTCCCTGAACTATGACATTAGTTGCACATTTGGTCCCTCATTCTTTTAAATGAGGCAAATTGGTCCATCTACCACCCTTGCCTCACCATTTCTGGTGGAGGAACTTATGAGTCAGCAAAATTTGGGAGATGTGTGTTGCCAACTAAGCAAAAGTTAAGGAACTTATCCTAGTTAACATTTGTTTAGGGATTATAAATCATTTTTTTTTGTCAGCTACTAATATTTATTATTTATTATGTATAAACTTTTATTAAAGTGAAAGAAAACATACCCAAATTTTTTGCTTTTTAAAGAACTAGGGTGGCCAACGCGTGCGATGCGCGCGACATGGCTAGCCAATGCGGAGAAGATATCAATAGCTTGTACATAGTTATGATTAGTAAGCATTTTGCACATAAAATGTCTTATGCAATCTTTAAATACCTTGAAACTGGCAAGATTTAATACAATGAACCTTTAGAAAGAGTAATAATCGACTATTAAGTTCAAAATCATATATCCTTAACCTTTTCTTATGTATTTTAAAGAGTAAATAATAGCATTTACATGCTTTTCTTATAGAGTCTAGATGATTCTCTAGAATAAAATTTTGATACATATTACAAGCTGAAAAACAAAGAGAAACAAATAGAGGAATAATGAAATTTTGCATCAATTTGTTCTTTGGTACCCTATGAGTAGCTAGGACTCTTAGGTGTTAAATTTTAGTTTTGAGTTTGGATTTTGCTCAAGTCCAATGCAACGTACATTTATACTTAGTATTGCTGTTAAGTCTAATATGATCATCTAATATAAAATTTGGTAGCTTGAACCCAATGTAAAAATCCAAAATAATAAAATACCGAGTAGCTTTTTTTTTTCCTTCTTCTCTTTGTATATTGGGCCAGGGGCTTTATTTTTTATTTTTTAATACTCTATAATTAAACCCAATGTAAGAAGGGCTGATTTATCCAATGCAGGCAAGCTTGAGCTCAGCTTAATTCAACTCAACAATACAAAGAAATACAGTAAATCATTAAGCTGATACTCATTAGATGCAGAGCATATAACATTATTAGGATGCATCATATCAAAATCTCACCAGAAAAGTGGTATCTTCTCTTCTAACAAGTAACAATAAACCTTTAAGGTAGATTAGGATTGATAAAAGAACTACTCACACCTCCTTTCCTTCAAATACAACATACACATCCAGAGCCTAAGCACAAAGACATTCTACTCCCTTTAAAAACATGTACCTTGAAAAACTGCATCTTTTAAAGTTGTGGACTCTCATTTTGCGCTCTTAATCCCAAAATTATAATTGAAATTTAGATGTCCTTTGCATCTCATAACAACGAATCTAACAGAAATGTTCAAAGCCACCTTTGTAAAATTCTACAATCCCCAAAATCAAAACCAAAGTACAATCTAAATATCATAAATAAAAATCCTAAGAAATTGTATAAGGAAAAAATTAAAGTAGCTTTTGATTGGATTTGTGGTAGCGCTTAACTGGACAAACCACAAAGTCACTGACAAATATTCATGAAATGATCAAATTGAAAGAATAAAAAGAGACATGAGGGGCTTCCATGAGGTAGAGCTCGGAAGTTGGTATATTTAATTTCCCTCGCTTATAGTGTTTCTGGTTCTCCATTCACTTTAATTATCTACTATTTTTATTCTTTCAAAATCCAATCAAATTTAAGGAAAATAGGTAAATACCCAGACCCTAAAATTAAAAAAGGATAATACCTTAAAATCTAAAATCAATCAAAACCTTATAAAACAGTTGAAATTAAAATTGAAAAATACCTTTGAAGATTGTTAGTGACTTTGTGGTTGAAACTTGAAACCAATAATTCAACCGATTGAATGGGAAGATGAAAAGTACGTAATAACAGAGAGAAAATATACAGTATTAAAAAATTCTTGTAATATTAAATGGGGGCAAATGCGTAAAGACATATTTTTGGGGTTATAATTGTCACACTACTATTCATAAGAGCAAGATTCTACTTTTTATAAAGTATGGATAAAGTAGGGATTAAAGAAGAAAATGAAATATGACTTAAAAAATTAAATACTTCGACTTTCTTTCAAAAAAAAAAAATTTAAATACTTCGAATTAAAGAAATAGGAAAAGGAAAAATAAAGAAAGAACGGAACAAGAAAAGAAAATAATAAAGAAAATTTAAATTTTAAAAAAATGGTCAGCCCTCTCTTCTTCACTTTCGGTTTGGCAGCTCTAATGGGGGAAATAATTCCCTACTTTTCACATCATTAAAGATCATCAACAGTCACCATCTTTTAATTCCATCCTTTGCCTCCCGATTTTATTAGTTATATAGAAGCTCATGCACAATATAGTTCGGCCAAACCGGAGGTTTGGGTTGTGTGGTTGATTAATGACGGTGGTGAGGCTACAGATTGGTGGAGATGGGGTTGTGTGTTTGTAGCAGGTTGTTGGTGATGTAGGGTGAGTAAAGGTGGAAAATCTTATAGTTTAGTTTTTTTATTTTTTTTCCCGAAAATTCTATAGTTTTAATAATGCAAATCATAACCAAAATATTAATGTTGATGAAAAAAATTAATATCAGTTAAAAGATTTCTTTTTAAATAAAAACTGACAAAAAAATAAAAAAAATTAATGATTCATGGTCCTTAAACTTTTGCTAACTAGGATAGGTCCCTAAACTTTTTTAAAAATATTATTTTATTTTTGCCACATAGGACTTTTGTCCTTAAACTTTGGCGACTAATCTTTTTTCCACCGAACAAGTAAATTATGGGTGGTTGAGGGACCAATTTGCTTCGTTTGAAAGATGAGGGACCAAAATGCTACAAATACTAAAGTTGAGGGACCGTATTTTAGCTTAACTCCAAGTTGTTATTATAACTCTTACACTAGTAGAATAAACGTAATGGC